TAAATTGTTTTTAAAAAGTAATATATATATATATATATATGTATATATGTATGCATGTGTGAGCTATATTGAGTGGGTTCTTACAGAATTCAATGTCAAAGCCCATAGATTGGCTGGGTGGGTTCTCAGTATCAGCCTATAACTTTCATGGAAGGGAGCAAAAATTGTACAATAACATAATATAATAAAGTTGAATATACATAAATCCACAGGACCCTATGATTTTTTCCTTATAATAAGATAAATACCATATTTATAAAAATTATAACGAATTTTTAACTAATTTTAAGTACTTTAATTAAATAAACTTAAACGGTATAGAATATTATTTTTATTTAAAAACATAATAAATTCGTCAAAATCTAACGTAACTCGGTAATTGAAACACCGCGTATGCATCGATGCGTTAACTTTTTTTTATCAAACTAAATCAAATATCATACGTTAACTACCACCGAGCTAACATTATGTTAGTTTATTAGAATATTTTGATTTATGTTAAACGAATAAGAATGTTATAACGCTGTATTTGAAAATTTAATAAATAAGGAAATATATTCAGACCCTTCATTCTGTGATGAAAGATAGCAAACTTGGGTAAAAAAATTAAATAGTTCAACATTTTATAAAAGCATTAGGTAAAAAAAATATTCTTAAGTAATTAAGTAATTCTTATGGCGAATCATTAAATATAAAGGTTGAAATCAAGATTTGATTTAGATATGTTATTCATACGTATTAATAGCTTTGATACAATATACGTAGTAGCATATCGTTTGAAAGGTTTTGATAATTCATTTCAATTCATTTATTCAAATCGATATTTATTACGTAAGACTTCTCGTTTTAGTGGCAATCTATTCGAATCAATATTTATGTTAGCATGATTAACATTTTACATGTTTCACGCTAAATAAATAAAGAATTGTTATTCTATACTGGGAATCAAGACCTTAATAATCCCACAAAATGACAATAAGTAATCAAATCTTTGACTTTATTGGAACGTAAATTAAATATAAAATACGGACAAATTTTTGATTGAATGGTTTACCGTTCGTTCATTAGTCATATAAGTGATCTTTTTCACGACTAAAGATATTATATTAGATAGAAAAAAACGCGGAGCACTCTTTCAAAATCTTTTTCAAGATTATTCGATAGAATCTTTATTATAAACACGTAAGTTATGATCTTTTGTGGATTTAACTTTTATCCCACCCTGTCCGAGCCCTGATCGATCAACACCGACCTTTTTTTTTTTTTTTTACTACGAGAATGAATTTAAATACTTATATAATTATTTGATTTTTTTGTATATATAATATGAGAGGGAATATTTATTTATTCATTACAAATATCAAATATATATATATATAACAATGCAGAGTAAATATTATATTTTAATTATATGTGATATTTAAAGGAAAAAAAAAACAGAATTATTAAGCAAATCTTAAATTATAATTTTTAAGAATACAAAATGTATTTATGGTAATAAGTATATTTGTTCTGTTAAATAATTTGTGGTACAAAGTAGGTAAAGTGGGTACGTTGTGAACTTGAAAATGGCAGGAGAGATAAGGTTTTCTACCTACCCTTCTCTGTCAGTCCATCCCCAACTCGCTCCCTCTCCCACTCACCCGTCGATTCACATCTTCCGTTCTCTTAATCTGTAACAAAGAATTCACAGAGACGGATTTGTATAATTGGATTTGGATTTTCTGATCATGGGTCCTTCGTCATCCTCCGCCATGGAGATTCTGGATCCTCCTCTGCAGAGCATTGGATTCAAATTCCAGCATATGTCTCCCACCAGAGTCGCCGGCCACCTCCATGTCACCGCTCTTTGCTGCCAGGTAATTTTCTTTTACCGATTCTTTATGAATATCTATCTACATCTTATAAACGGAACAATCATTGCACAGCCGTTCAAGGTGTTGCACGGCGGCGTGTCGGCGTTAATTGCAGAGTCGCTGGCCAGCGTGGGCGCTCACATCGCCTCTGGCTTCAAACGAGTCGCCGGCATCAACCTCTCCATCAACCACCTCAAGCCCGCCGTACTCGGGGATTTCGTCATCGCCGAGGCTTCTCCCATCACCGTCGGCAGAACCATTCAGGTCAATTGATTACCTATTCCGGCGTTACCTGTTAATCCTATAAAGTTTTGATTAATGAGTTGACGGAGACTTTACGAAATTTTTAATAGGTGTGGGAAGTGAGAATATGGAAAGGTAATCCCTCCGACGACGACAATGCGGAGACCAGGTCGTTGGTGTCGACGTCGAGGGTCACTCTCCTGTGCAACCTGCCGGTGCCGGAGAATGCCAAACACGCCGCGGATCATCTCAAAAAGTACGCTAAACTATGACTTGTGGAACTCCCTCTCCCTGTAAATCTCACCCGCGTATTGCTGCTTCTTTCGTGCTTATCTTTTCTGTTCATAAAATTTGGCCTATTATGAACTCTCTGCAATTTTACCCAATTCTCTAATCTGCCATCCTGCCATTCTCCAATCATTAGTCAACTATGTTGTTTATTCCCAATATATATATATATATATTCTTCTTCAGTGACAATATATATTTAACTATATATATATATATATATACAAACACATATTTGTTTAGTATTTTTTAGTACACCACTTTTAACATTAATAGAATTTTATAAATTCAAAGTAGTTTAAATTGGAATAAGTATTTGCATATTTGTTTTATTTATCTGAAACTTCATATGTTTACAAACTGTCAATTACCTAAAAAAACGAACTTTAATTTAAAATTTCAGTAAAATGAAAAAAAGAAATTATTTTACAATTTAAAAAAATATTAAGTATATTTTTATGTCATAATTACTAAACATAATTTCATATAAATATCACCCATATAAAATTATCTAGAAACGTTACGTACCTTAGCGAAATGCTCACACTTTTTATTACTGCGTTAATAACATATTTTATTATAATCTATCACGATGAATTAAATCAAACACTACGCTTTCACCATATGATTATTATAAATTTTTCATTTCATACCATCGTTTAGTTGATATATATCAGTCAAAATATTTATTTAAGAGCATATCACTCGAAGATAATACATGACGTTCAAAAATCTCATTTAAAAAAAAATTGTACTTGTTAAAACTCGAACAAAAATGATTATTGATCTTGACACTAACTTTCACGCTTGTTTTACGGGTATAGTCATATTGAAATCATAAAAAAAAATATATATGGAATATCGATGCACTCATTTGATTGAAATATTTCACGTATCATTTAATGAATGACATAGTGTATAAATAGTAAAATAATTTATAAAAGATTATCAGTAAATATTATATATCTAATGTGTAAGGATAAATAATAAAATATAGATTACTTATTTAGGTTATGTCTATTTTAATACAAAGTATGCATTGCTTATTTAAGCTATATGCCCATTTTACATGTGAAGTTTATAAGTCTGAGTCCACTATGAAGTATTACGTATCACGATTTAGGTTATAATAATTGATTAATAAAATGCTTATTTAATATTCACTTATAGAACATTTATATGATTCTTTATATATATATATATATATTACGAGATTTTTTTATGAAATCATTACCAGTAATACTGTCATAATAGATAGACGTGTCATAATGAATTAATTCAGAACTTACATGTTCAAGTAAATAAACTAAAGTTTCTAATAGGTAATTTACTTACAATAGGTAACAATGATAAAGTTATCATCAAGCCTCACATAATTTGAATCCCACTAAAATACGACACGTACGAGATTATTTATGATGTACTTATTGATATATTAGTAAATAAAACTATAAGTTGTATGTCGTATTCGACTAAAATTATAGTATTTAATAGCACGATGATGGCTTTTATAACCTTAATTGATTTCATGAGATATAAGCAATAAAACTTTATTTTGAGTAGCTTTTGATTTTGGATTTTATATTTTTAAATTACTTTTTACGAACAAATGAATAAAATAATATGTATTTTGACAAAAATAAAAGCTAAATTATAATTACCATATAATTAAATATAAAAATTATAAATTGTAATTTTTGGAATATAGCTTTAGCCTTTAATAGAAATTTACATTTGAAAATTCAAAAATTATTTGATATTTATATAAAACATCAATTGCTAAACAACTATTTCAATAATACTTTTTAAAGTTATAACATAAGCAACAATAATCGGAAGTACTACTAATTTGATTGTAAGTAGTAAGATAGATGAGTATGCGGTGTATACAAATTGAAAGAGATTTTCAACGAGTGGAGAATATATTCCAATCATACCTGAAATGAAAGTATGAACTCGGTTTGCTTTATTTTTGAAACGAACATTTTATTAAACTGACGTTGTATTCAATATTATAAGTTGTAATATAGTTGTTCATATTTTAGTTATATCGAAATTTATTATTTTGGGTATAAATTTTAAAACTCGAAAACCTACTTATTTTATAGTTTAATTTTTTTTAATAAATAACATATTTTATCATTATATGATTTGAATAAATTTTAAACTTTATTATAAAAATAAGAATTATGATTATAAATTTTATTTTAACAAAAGATATAACGGTGAATAACCTATAAAATTTGGGCATTTTTTAAGAAAATTTAATTACGGAAATTCTTCGTTGACTAAAAATTTATGAATATTTAGTAATTAACGTTTCAAATGTTTTGTTAAAACATATAGTTTTATAAAAATGTGCGATTTAAACACTTTTGATTAGAAAAAAGTAAATAAAAGTGATTATAAAAATTATAGTTCGAGAATTTTTAGAATTATACGACTTACACAGTTTTGAGTATTTTACGAGATGTAAAAAAATATTTACAAAATTACTAGAAAATTTTATAATTAATTTAATGGTTATAAATAATATTACGAAGGAAAAATAATTTTATTAATTAAAATAATTACTTTTATTGATTCAATATAATAATAGCTGAATCTAATCTAATCAAACTGCGTCTGTTCTGTTTCATTAAACCAAACGCACCACTTCGCCGCAGCACCCAATAAAAGCCCACGATAATTTCATTTTTGACTTTAAAAATAAAAAAAAAGGGCCTCCGGCAAAGTTCTCTCTCTCTCTCTCTCTCTCTCTAATCCGTATCTTCCCCCCCAGTTTGGCCGCATAGGTTTTGCTCTCTGCAATTCGCAACTCGCAACTCGCTCTCCTTCCCTGCAATTCATCCAATCTTCTCCTCCCTTTTCTCTTTTTAAATTTAAAATTTCTAAATACTCTTTCCGTTTTCTATCCCAAACCGAAATGAAATTCAGAAGGTTTCCTCTGAGATATCGGTAACGAGAGTTAGGGTTTTTCGCTCGTTATCAGGGACCGTCACAAACTAGCGGTAAGACCTTTGAGTGAGCGGGTTATTGCATTATTGCGTTCTGATTTAGTCGATCTGGCAATGGATTCGCGAGATTCATCCTCATCGACGGCAACCAATCGTGATGTCTCCGCAACTGATGACGACGGGGTACTCTCCGTCACTGCCGCACTCGCTAAGGACGCCGCTCTCTACTTCCAGTCCCGCAAGTTCGCGGAGTGCATCGAGGTCTTGAATCAGCTCAGACAGAAGAAAGAAGACGATCCGAAGGTAATTTCCTACTCCCTTGCAGAGGTATTTGATTGCTGCGTGTAGTTTGTCTTTGTAGCTTATTCATCTCGAGGATTCTTTATCGGGAATTGGTCTTACTTTGGGCGTATTACTATTATTTCTTCCCCATTTCCTAGTACTTTCACGGGGTTGTAGTTTGTGGATGGTGAGAAGTTGATTTGCTGTTTCTTTTGCGTTTCTTGCTATGTGCTTTGAGGGAATAGTTGGTTAGATTTTAAGTTCTTCATTGATTTGGAGGATCAAGCATGTTCTTTTGTCACTTGCGTGTTGTTACTGATGAGAAAAGAATCGGCTGCTTTGTTCTGTATACGTTCCATATGATGTGACCGGGAGATGGAAATACCTATGCCGGGAGCAAGCTATGGGAATATGCTTATTGAGTCCTCATTCTTAGCTGACTGCAGATAATAGCACTGGTTTGCTTAATTGCTTCTACTGTGAGTATGGTTAAGGGGCGGTTTGCATGCATTACCTTTGTGCTAACTAGAATGGAAACTACCATAGGGCTCAAATTATATTACACGAACTGTTATCTCTAACCTAAAAACATCTATACTAGATCTGGAGAAGTGACATTATACACTTGATTGAGACTTCAACTTCTTTTTGGTGGTCTCATTTAAGCTTTCTGCCTTTACAATTGTTTTTTTTTTTTTTTTTTTTTTAAGGTGGGCTTGATCTTTGTCAATGGTGCTGCTTATTATAAAATATTAGAATGTCAAGCTGCATTGCTGCCTTCATTTGCTGAGAACTTTGATAAGTCGATCTTGTATGGGATGTTGCTGTATTGTTAAAATGTCTTTTCCGTATTTACTTATTATTCCTTTTTTTAACCTCGAGGTAGCTTTTCTTTTCTAGCCTGTTGCAAGCCTGCTTGCAAGAATTGTATTATGTAGCAATCATATTCTCAACCACTTCAGTGACCACTAATAATGTATGGTTTTTACTTGAAATTTCACATTTCTTGGGATATTCTTTTAATTTATTTCATTGAGGTTTATTAGGTCCTTCACAATATTGCTGTCGCGGAATACTTTAGAGATGGTTGTTCAGATCCAAAGAAGTTGCTTGAAGCACTTAACAGTGTGAAGGTACGGTGTTGATTTTTCCCACTGGGACTTCTAATGAGGCATGGTTTCCTGCAGCATGTTATAATGACCCACTTTATTATGTATAATTTTTTTAACAAGTTATAAATGATTTAAAATATCAAATAGTAACGAGGAACCTATGGAACCAAGATTACATACCTTTTAAACATGGCGAGAGGATCAGAAGGCAATCTGACTAGAGTAGATCTATTCCCATAAACATACGGGTTAAGTTAATTATGACCAGAAATAATGCAATCTGATTCCACTTAAATATGCACTTTAGATATGGCTAGAAGATAGGAAAGTAATATGCTCAGAATGAACCTCATTTCACTTTTGAATTCTGGTGTTAAAAGTCTTAAATAAATGGCTTTAATATTGCTCGTGCTACTTCATATGTGGACTGTAGTTTTAGTTAAAGCTCAAGTTTCCCTTGTTACATTTTCATTTAGTTATCCCTTTCTGAGTTGTTTGTCTGTTGGAATATTCATCTGTGGTACAAAAACAAGAATCTTGCTGCATTTTATTGTTCTACCTGTGGTGTTATGGTCTGATTTTGTTTTTATGGTTGTCGTGCAGAAGCGGAGTGAAGAGCTTGTTTGTGCATCTGGAGAGCAGGTGGAGGCTGTTAGCAATCTTGGAAATAAAGTAATTTTGGGATCTAAAGGAAACAATACTGCAGCAAACAGCACCAGTATCGTATACATGGATGAATTTGATACGTCTGTGGCAACACTTAACAGTGTAAACTCCTTGTTTTCTTTGTTTAGCACCCAGGTGTATACTCTGATATTTTTTGGGATTAACGTGTTCCCTTCAAAACCACTCCTATTCAGGCAATTGTTTGGTTCCATCTTCATGAATATTCAAAGGCACTATCGGTTTTAGAGCCTTTGTTTCAAAATATTGAACCAATAGATGAGGTGCGCCATTGTTTGATTTTAAGTATCTCTATCTTTTTCTTCTAAAAAAAGTATCTTTATCTTTCCCATCAGTAATTTTCAGCGTGTTTAAAGTTTCACATGCAATACATATGCAGACAACAGCTCTTCAAATCTGTCTCTTGTTGCTGGATGTTGCGCTACCTTGTGGTGATGCATCCAAGTCTGTGGGTACGTTCTTGTGTTTATGGTGTGTCTACCTGCACTCAGTTAATCTTCTAGTTATTAATTTTTCCTGCTTAAATTCTGCTATTACTGTGGTTAGTACAGGTCTTCTTGTCATGCTTTCCTTGCCAACCTTTGGATTGTTTGTAAGACACATATCACAGGGCAGCAAGGAAGTGCACCTTTTTGTTTCTCTCAATTCTTGGGTTCAATAGCATGTTACTAGTGTGCTATGTGTTGCAACCTTAGATTAGATAGAGCCGGAGATTTCCTTTTTCTGCAGAAGTGTCAACTAGAACATTTGTTGTCTGTCTTGGTTTATTTAATTGTTTTATTAGCTTCTATGAACGCAAATTATTAAAATTGTATATGGTATGTGGCAATGAGTCTTTAGAAAAAATTCATTGGTCATCACAGTGCAAAAGTGTAGTGACGAGGAAATTCCTCTATATCTCTCTTTACTCCATCTTTTGATTGAATTGTTTAGTCTAAATTGAAGATTAACAAATTTTCCATCGCAAGATGTCAGATTAATTTTTGTCTTGATTGATAATTTATAAGATGAAGTTAGAATGGTAAATTACTTACCTTTGGGTCTAATTCTTTCTCTTTGGGACTTTGTTTTATGAATTTTTTTTTTTGAATAAAAAGTATGAAGTACATTAACAGACACCAAAGAAGTACCAACCTGTATACAAAATATTTACATATTTGCCAAGAAGTCAACGAGGTCCCCCAAATCCTCTATAGAATAAAGATGATGACCCAAAATAAAAAAGCCAAGGGTCTAGAACTATTTGTTCCTAATCCTATAAAAATCCACTACATCCTCAATCCCCTCAAAAGCTCTTCTATGGCTCTCCTTCCATGCCACTCAGAAAATGGTGAGAGGAATAAGGCCCATGATTTCCTCTACTGATTGGAAGCTGCCATCACCTAACTGATACCCAATAAACCGTAAACTGTCAGCCATAGCTTGTACTCTAACGGGCACCATAAAAGAACATGACTACAAGTCTCTGCAGCACCTTTATACTAGTAGCAAACCGTTCACCATAGTTGTTCCCCTTCTCATCAATTTGTCAATGGTGAGAATGCAACCTGTTCCGGCTTCTCATGCAAAGAAAGCAACTCTGGGAGGAGCCTTAAACTTCCATATCTGTTTAGAAGGAAACTTATTACCATCATTTTCCTACTCAGTCAGATGCTTGTAAAAGCATTTGACCGAGAAGGATCCTGAAGTAGTAAGATTCCATTGAGGTTGATCATTGCTGCCGGCCAAAACAATGAGAGACAAGGTACCCAGGAGATTCTCAATTCATTGATCTCCCAATCATTAAGATTTTTCAGTATATTTACCTGCCACTCCTTTACTGCCCCCCTATATCTGTGAGTGAGTCACTAACCAAAGTGTTTTTCCGTTGTGCTATGGCAAAAATCTGAGGGTACTAATCTCTAAGAGCTCCACTGTTCAGCCACAGGTCTTGTCACTCCTTTCGGTCCAATTCTTTCTCTTCGGGTCTTCACATTAAAAATAGGTAAAGATGTTGCAGTGCTTTTAGAATGTAGTCAAGATTTTCTGATTCTTTCCAATGAGAAAAAAATTATTCAGGGTGCCACCGTCGATTCAAATAGATTGATGATTTGATTTTATTCAAAACCCAACGGATGCCACTCAAATTAAAGAGGATAGATTCTCAGCCAAGAACATATAGTTTAGGTGATATAACGGTCTCATTGTAGAGTCGGCAGCAGGAGTTTGAGTCATATCACTCATATCATCTTAAAAAGAAATTGATACAATTTCAAGTGAGTTAATTGAACAAGTTCATGTGGTCTTCTAAATGGTTTCCGCAAATTGATCTGAATTCTACAATTTGTGGAATACCAAACTGCTCTTTTTATTTTAATGGGCAGAATATTATCATAGTTGTAGAGGCAGTTTGCAGTAATCGTCAACATCAAACTTCTGCCTTTATAAGAGTAATTGACGTTGAAAAGCTTGAGATTGTCTTTTTAATCCCATTGACTAGAAAATCAAAAACTTAGATGCTGGTTTCTTTTTACTATTGACCCATCACAACTATAAGCATATGTCTATATCTGGGCAAAGTAACTATAGGCCCATTTTTATAAGCCCCATTCTGCAGGACCAAATAAAAGAATCTGCCGTCTTTGCCTCATGAGAGCAGAGCTGCCACTATAAGAAATGAACATTGTTGGGTTCTGAGAAACCTTTGAAAGAGACAGGAGAGCAAGAGGGTGGGGAAGCTGAGATGACGTCATCTAAACTAATTGGTTGGTTGTCCTCTAGAAAAAGCAAACCGTTAAATGATTGGTAATCTGGTTTTCTGATTCCTTAAGCTACATATCTGGTCGAAGAGAGAGTTTCCTATCCACCCTGTGTTTGCAATATCTTAAATTAAATTTGTTAAATGAAGAGAAATCCTATTGTAATAACCTGTAGGCTATTGTATTTCTGCTACGCTCTTCTTGTAAAAATCTGATTGCTTCATCTCTTGTTAATGATCAGCAACTTTCTGGTGTCTGCACTACCTAACAGTTACCGGAGCCTTTTTATTTATCTTTTAAAAACCCCCTACTATTGTTCATTGGATGCAAAAGAAAGATACCAATAAATTATTATATGTTTTTTTGAGAAGGGACAATCAGTCCTCCTTTATCATCATAATTCCTGAAAAAATGGGAAATCCTTGACATTTCAGTGTTCAGTAATTAGACATGCTAATAGTCCTGTATTTTGATTAGATTCTTTGGGTGTTGAATTGTTGGATGTTCTACTGAATCTTAAAGATTGATCTGTTGATCCTTTTATGATTTGTATCCTTTTATGATTTGTACTGTTAAGATCTTGATTTGCAATTTGAATCTTGATTTGACGATCACGCTTGTTGAAGGAGATGGTGACAGTATTTATGAAACTGTAGAAAATGATACCTTACATCATGAACAAGATTCATTCCTTCAAATGAAATTGGTTTGAAGCCTATTTTACAAATACACATTTTTCTCTTACATTTTAGGTTTATGCTAGGGTTCCCTAAAGAACAGCTAGTTATGGGTTTGTTACGGAAGAGGGTAAGGGCTCTTTAAGAGAGAACCCGTAGATGTTTTTGGTAAGGACTTGCTGAGAGAGAATTCTTTCAGGGCTCCTTAGGAGAACTCTTCTACCTCGAGAGTAAGAAAATACACTCATACTTTTTGGAAAAGTTGTGCTTGCTGTTTTATTCATGCAAACTTCAGATTTGTATACAACTTTAGAGACGAGATTGTAAAACAATCTCCTAAAGAATGGGTAACTTCCAAACTGCCTTGTATCTGGAATTACCTCTTTCCACTTCTAAGAAAAAAGAAAAATTACAAACAGTTTAACAAATAAAATGCCTAAGAACTGAAAAAAAAATCTAATTTTTATCTTGTCCCCAAGTGTAAGTTCTTGATATGGCTCATAACAGCTTACCATTTTGTCTATGACCAATGAGTTGGTGGTGGTGTAATGGGTTTGTATTGTGTAATATACTATGGCTACTTTTAGTTCAAAAGTGCAAATTCGATAAAAGTACTTTTTTAAAATAAAAATAGTATGGTATGATTCACTCTCAAGCACCATGGGGGTGCAAACCGATGTACAATGTTATTTACATATCAACCGAAATGTCAA